ATATAAACGTAATATATCAATTGCAATAATATTAACCATGGCTAATTTTGGTGCCATCATTGGTGTTTCAATCTATCCAGCTACTGATGCTCCCTCATTTACTAAGGGAAATATTATATGCTTATCCACTGTTCTTGCTCAATGTATTTTAACTATTGGATTGAAACTTTATTTGGATTTACTAAATAAGAGACGTGATTTGGCTATATTAGCAAATCATGATGATGTATATGATAGTGATTTGGTGAAAAATAAAAAGAAACTTAGAGAAATTGCCATGAAATGTGTGGAAAAAGAACCGAAATTTGATGAAATTTTATGTGATAGGCATCCAAATTGGAGGTATATTACTTAAAAATTATTGCTTATTGATTACATTTCTGTAAATATTGAATAGCACCCAGATTCTTTTATAATCATTAAGCTAGCAATTAATATGAAACGTTATATTTATATGTTCTGAAAAATGACAAGTTTTTCAACATTTTATTTTTTTATTATTAACATGTAATTATACAGTAATTATGTATTATGTATTAATTCTGTGGTAACATTGTACGTGTAGTAAAGGATGGTGTCACTGTGGTTGGTAAAACTATGGTAAAACCATCAACAATTGTGAAATTAAAATCTTTCAAAGTATTGCACTACTTTATTATATATTTAATCTAAACTTGTAATAAAAATTAATAATAATTTACTTTTGTATATTCGAAGAGGCGTAGATTTAAAATTGAGTTGCATCAGAATGAAATTTGATTCATCATTTACGCGATATGTATAATAAGTGTAATAATAATTAAAATCATAAAAACAATTTATTATATATCTCATGCCGTGTTAAACTATAGAAATATTCATCCACAATGCGTAAACCCTTTATGCCAAGATGTCAAATTTTGGCATCGAATAAAAAAGAAAAGCACTAATTAATCAAAATTATAAGAATTAAAATTCTTTTTTTTTTATCCCATCAATATTACATCGTACTTCACTACTTTGCGTTATCGATTAAATACTTGAAATTAGATAATATTTTAACATTTATAGAAACAGAATGTTAGCACGCTTGTAATAATAAATATCGTTGTAAAATTGTTCGTTGGGACGAATTATATGTATGTAATAACGGTGTTTTATTAAATTATTGCAATTTAAGTATTACTGGAAAAAATTTTTTGGACTAGTTGCGATATAACGAAATATTTCGGTCACATGTATAATACAGCATGATCGATACCCAAGGAAACTAAACTTTGGCTTCGGCTTTTAAATCTAAAACCTACCTTTAAAAAATCCGAGGAATTTATTTCGGTATGATATAAATTTAAGAATCTAAAGTTTTTGTTTTTCTTAGTATCACTTATATAAATCATCGATTTAGTTCAATGCAAACTTCTATTTTGAACTTACGCATCTCAAATTCAAATTTCAATCACACCCATTCTAATTTCACGCACAACATACACACACGTGTCAACTTAAAAATTCTTTATAATTTTAATTATAGCTAGTAAATCTTATATAGCATTATAAACATTCCACCCGCAAATTTGTCCTTGTAACTAAAATTTTTTTTATTTGCACTGTATATCCAAAAATGACATTATATTTTTATATTCAATTAAATTTTTAACTTGAAATTTGACTAATAAAAATTTTATATTTTATTTGAAAGGTTGCTAGAACAAGGCTATTAAAAATGAGTCTTCATTTGACCATTATGATAAAATAGATGATTTTAACGCAGAATTAATACATAAAAATAATTATACAAATAATGATTCATTTAACGCATAAAATTTAACATACTAATATTTGGCTATTATTGAATTAGTAAATTAGATTATTATTGATCATCAGCCCATTCGTTTTCTCTACGAATAGCTTCTTCTTCTTCTGGAGTGAAATCATTAACAATATTAAAAGTAGATCTAATTTCTTCGAGTGATTTACTCTTAATCATATTGGCGACAGTCTTGCAGCCGATATCCCTATAAGAAAAAATTTAAACATTTGGAAACTAAATTCATTAATAAAGTTGAGATTATTTACAATAATGGTTTTATGTCCAAATAATTTGCAGCCTAGTAATTAATCATGAGAAAATAAATTAGTATTTATTGAAATAAGGTTCCAAATATAAAAAAATAATAAAATTAAATAAAATCAACCAGAATGATTTCAAAGAGCATGTCCTGATTGACACAATTTATGAAATTTTCGTCCCAATCATCGATTTCAAAATTTCTTCTTCGGGAATCGTCATTATCATAATTAAGGGGTGGATCGTTAATATGATGTTCACACCATTCGAGAACCTTGGTTATAAATTCAATGCTTGATTACTTTCAATTATAAAAAAAATAAGTAATGTACAATAATTCATTTAAGTGATTTTCAATTTAACCTTTTCCAAGACTTTTCCAGTAACATTAGGAAGAGATGCATTTTCTGCATTTGCAGAAATTCATTGTAAAAAGAAAAATCTTTCAACTTTATAAAATCAAAATTAAAATATTTTTAAAAGTAGTGAACCAATACTTGCCACCACCATTCCAATTGTTAAGCAAAGTATAACGATTAGCGATACGTGCATCAATATGAAATTCTATGCCGTCACTACTTCTCAAAGTAATTGTTTCATTTTCACTGGCATTATTATTAGTATAACTATCCATTTATTTTTATGATATTGGAAAATAATTATTCCGAATTAAATTCATTAAATCCTAATATATAACTATCGTATTTATATTATTAATAGCGGAATAAAATCTCCGTTTTAGAATTATTATTATAGTTATACAAATGGATTACATACTAAATATGTAAATTTTCATAATTCGAATTACGGAGTTTTTATGCCTGTTTTAAAATT